GTTATCTAACAGGACAGGAAACCTCTGCCAGCACCATGAGTTGCATGCTTTTTCTTCTTGGACAGAATCCAGGATGTTACAAAAGGTAAGAGACTCAAACTATTATTTCATTATGTTATTTCTAAACCAAAAACAAAAAAGGAATTAAGTAAAAGTTATAGATAAAGCGAAAAGTGGTTAACTTTTTAGTAATATATAAAATAGCTTTCTGGAGAACAAAAAGTGTACTGTGAGAAAGATATTTGAACACTCCACTGTTTTGAAACAGTAGGATTTTATTTTATTAGGTTACAAATAGAGATTGATGAAAATGTTGGCGCAGTGTCAGTGATCACCCTGAATGAGCTTGAGAAGTTACCCTACCTAGATATGGTGTTGAAGGAAACACTGAGGCTTTACCCTGTGGCTAAGGCAACCTTTCGCGAGACAGCCAGTGACTACAATCTCGGCGGTCACCTCATCCCCGGTGGTACTGACATGTTTGTAAGCATACCTATGTATATAACTTAACGACATCAGGACATACACCTTAGCTATTGGTAATCAACAAAGTACATTAAATGAGTTTCTAGTGACTGGTGTAAACTGTTTCATCTTTATTTTCTTCAATGTCATAATTTCTATTCAATGCAACGTCACAGTTTGAAATTTAAACAGGTTTGTATAATATCTTCATTCTCACGGTGGAACAATTTTGTAATAAGTGGTAATACAAAAAAATATATATTGAGATTGGCTACGTGCACTGTAATAACATATTAAAATAATTTCAGATAATTAAGGCCTCTCAAATTCCTATTGTGACACTTTGATATATGTTCTTCCCCTACATTAAGTAGGTACATTGCAATGGTATCTGACATATGCCATTAATTGATGTGTTTTTATTACTATGACATAATATTGTCCTCTCAAATGTATCGCTTTATTCAACCAGAAGCACAAATGAGCGATAGATATCCTATGGGCCTTTTTCAGCTGATCTTGATATGCGTAATTTGTTTTAAAGGTTAGTTTCTACGCGACCTCCAGGTCGGAGCAAAATGTGAGAAACCCCACAGAGTTTTTGCCAGAACGATTTCACAGCGACAGCTCAGAGAGGTATAACCTGGATAATTTTTATTTTGGATGAATAATGCAAAGTACTACACTTAACAATCCTTTGATCATATGTTGATCATTGACTTGCTTCACGTAGAAAAAGTCCTCTTATAAATTGCACGTTCTTTTTAAAAATAATTATATATTTTATATAAAAATCATAATTATTTTGATGTAACCTCTCTCCCTCCCTCCCTGCTTCTCTATCTCCCAAAGATTAAAGTCATGCAATTGTTTCCAGCTTCAGTAAATATGCCTCCACACCATTCTCAGCCGGACCCCACACGTGTATTGGGAGAAAATTTGCAGAGGTATGTGCATTGCATGTTAAGAATTAAACACTGTATTCAAGGAAGAAATATAGAGGTTCCACAAAAAGTCACGGTTGCCTTTGTTCATCATACACGCATCATACACGAGAAAGGTTATTTTAAAACCAAAATAACTTTAGCCAATGAGAGTAAGATTAACCCGCTTTAGAATGGGAAGGGGATTTGGAACTTCTTTTTGTCAAAACATATGACATATGACATTGTCGAGCTATCGAAATTTGCGTCTTACTAATGATGAATATGGCCGCATGGTTATTTTATTGAGGTTATAAGATTGAAAATTGATACACAAAGAGTAAGCATCAACTATGGTAATACTTCGCGCATATTTGTCCAGTATGGATAAGTTCAAAGCCTAAGGTCACCAAATTTTTTATTTACAATATTTATGTGAAACTTAACATTATTAATGTAAAAATGACATATGATACCCAAGAAATCGATACACTAAGATGATATATGTTCAGGCGATACATATTGCAAATGAATTTGTATAATGAGGCAGAAAATGTTGAACAGCGCGATTAAGCATATTTACATTAAAATGTTAAGATTCTTTACCAAAATCATACCTAGCATTTTACCATGAAAATACTTTAAGACCAAAAGTATATTACTTGTCTCGGGTTAACTTTATATGTTGTGGGACCGAAAGTAAGGGTGTTCAGTCGTCACTTTTTCTAGCCAACCGTTCTGAATTTCAGTCCGGCGGATAGATGAAGTCAACTGCTGGCAAACTCGATCGGACCACCCAAGAAAGCTTTAAGAAAGATACGAAATGGAACAAAACCTCGAATCTCTTTTTAATTCAGATAAAGGATGGTTGGATATCAGAAAACAACATTTATATTAAAGCATACTTTGAAAAGGGATAGGAGTGGAAGAATGATAGTTCTTTGATCAGATAAATCCCATATATAAAGTACGTGTTCCTCAACCGTCATTGCTGAAATAAAGTGATAGTTTTGTTCCAACCTATAAATAATATCCGACTTTGTTATCTTAGAATATATAATGCATGTTAGGAGCTATTAAAAACGAAACGAAACGCGAGTAAACACCGACGCTGGATTGTTACACTTAACAGGCGTTACGTATGTTGACTTTTTATTATTTTTATCATTAATTTAACTCATGGAACAATGCTGGAATTCGTAATCTTCCATATAATAATTTCATTGCGTATTTATTGGTATAATGTTTACCGTGATGATAGAAACATTTTGTGATATAATTCTCTTTTTGTTTTTTGTTTTTTGTTGACCATTTTATCTCTCCTTTGTTCTTTTTTATGATTTGTTATTAATATACTTATGTCATACAACATTGTTGAAACAATGTATTTTATATCATTATGTTTTTTTTTCTTTTTTTCTCTCAATAGATAGAGATGAAAATCATGATTGCCAAGATCATACAAAATTTCGACTTTGAACTGATTCCCGGCCAAACCTGTGAACTAACTGACTCTGTAACTTTATTTCCGAAAGATGGCGTCAAGTGTTTCTTTCGCCAAAGGAAAACGGCGTAGTGCGCATGACTTTGTTCACTTTGTTGACTCTGTTCAGCTTCCTAGCTAACTGATCGTCATTCCAATGCACAACAACAAAACACACAATTATGTGAATGTTAATAGAGAATCAATGCACAATCTAAGGTTTACTTGTTAAAATCCACAGGGAACTTTTTTTGATGTTTTGTTCAAATTATGTTACGTTTTGTCGCACATTTTGACCATTTCCGGTATATTGAAAACAGGATTTTTGTCTTAATAATTGAAAATAATAAAACGATTATAAGACCCGCGGTTACGGTGATGTTTTAAACTTGACGGTTAGTCATGCTTGGTCCTTTCGTGTCATTGTTAATACCTTTGAAACATTCAAGTGGTTGTAAACAAAAAGGCTTTATTAATACATGTACCGTTTACAAATTACAACAGATGGGATATATCACTCATATACAAATTGTTAGTTTTCTACTTTTAATGTTATCAATTAATCGGAATTCTGTTTTGTTAAATCAATAATTAATCAATGAATGGTTTAGCAAATGTTGTTATGGTCCTATAACACACATTGCTATTAAT